AGAGACAGACAGGCAAATAGACAGAGACAGAGAGAACGCGGCGCTGTTAGTATAAAAAGGGTGATATCTCTCTCTCTCTCTCTCTCTCTCTCTCTCTCTCTCTCTCACGTCCGCTCCTACGATAGAACCACCCTCCTCTTCATCCTCCTCTTCCCTCCCTTCCTTCACCTCCTCACTTCCTGCTGCCTCCCCCCACCCGCTCGTCGAATTTTATATAAAATTATTGAACAGCACGTAATCTTACCTGTCGAACAGCACGTAACTTACCCTGTCGAACATAATGCAATACCCAGTCGAACAGCACGCATTCACCTGTCGAACAGCACGTAACTTACCTGTCGAACAGCACGTATTCACCTGTCGAGCAGCACGTAAATTTGCCCGTCGAACAGCACGCAATCTTACCCGTCGAATGTTAATGCAGCTTACCTGTCGAACAGCACGTAATCTTAACCGTCGAACAGCACGTAGCTTACCTGTCGAACAGCACGTAATCTTACCTGTCGAACAGCACGTAGCTTACCTGTCGAACAGCACGTAACTTACCTGTCGAACAGCACGTAATCTTATTCAGTATTAGTTTAACTTTATTTATTACTATTTACGAATATTATTGTTATTACTATTCGTATTATTATTATTATTATTATTATTATTATTATTATCAATATATTCATAACATTTTTATGCCCTCAGACGAAAACACTGAAGAATTTCTGGTTAGGTTAGGTTAGGTTAGGTTAAGGTTAGGTTAGGTTAAGGTTAGGTTAGGTTAGGTTAAGGTTTCTTTATATTAGTTTAGAGATAAAAATATATCTTTTTAGTTCTGTAGTGGATATGTTTTCTATTTTTTTTTTGGGGGGGGGGACTGGTTAAGTGTGTGTGTGTGCGTCTGTTCTCTTGGATAAAAAGTCCTCACCTCTCCAGCATACGCCCTATCTCCCACCCTCCCCTCTCCATCCCCTCCATCCCTCATCTTTCTATCTCACCCCATCTCCTCCATCCCTCCCTCTCTTCCTTCCCTCCTTTCATTACCTCCTCCTTCCCTCCTCCTCCTCCCTCACCTCTTCCTCCCCACCCCATCCCTCTCTCCTTCCTTCCATCACCCCCATCCTCTTCCTCCCTGATCTTCCCACCCCCGCACCTACGCACCCCGACCTTCATCAGCGTCGCCGCCTTCCTCAGGGTCTCAGCTGAAGTCTTGTGGACAAAGTTTGTACCTCGTCATAAGGGTCTCAGGACTAAACTACGAATTGATAATTATTAGAGACAAGCGGACCATCCTGCCCACACCTGTCCCACACCTGCCCCACACCTGCCCACACCTGCCCCAGCGCCTGCCCCACACCTGCCCCACACCTGCCCTACACCTGCCCCACACCTGCCCTACAACTACCCCACACCTGTCCCACACCTGCCCCACACCTGTATTACACCTGCCCCACACCTGTATTACACCTGTCTTACACCTGTCCTACACCTGTCCTACACCTGTCGCACAAATCTGTCCTACACCTGCTCTACACCTGTCTTACACCTGCCCTACACCTGAACATCGGGTTACTTTTAAGTGACCCGACAAATGAATGTATCGAACTCCTAAAACAGCTTTGATGAATCCATTTCGACAACACAAGGGTAACTAAGGTAAATAATAGCACCTTGGTAAACGGCATCCTCACCATCATGTTAATTGAACCAACACTCTCTTAAGAAACACTGATGAAGCCTCTCGTTAGCAGTGTATCATGGTGGGAGGACACGGCGATGAAGGGAAAAAAATATATATATTTTTAAGAATGCTAAAGGTCAACTTCTTCGCTTTAAAACGTTAACATTTTAATGAACGCCTGGGAACTGTTTCATCTTGACAGGCAGGGGCATCTTCAACAGGTATGTGTGTGTGTGTCTGGGTGTTTTTGAATGTTTATTTGGTTGTTGGTTGGTTGATTTTCGCCGTCAGATGGCAGCAAACACAAGACCATTATCTCCAAACACTCCTCTCCCCTCCCCTTGAAAACACTTCTGCTACCATTATATTCTTTCCCTGGAGCGTAAGAGGACCTCCGGGCGACGCCAACCCGGACTAAATATGTTGCTGGATCCTTTGTGTGGCCCGGTACAGCTCAGTTCCCCCCCACCAGATAACACGACCACACTTTACGACGCCTGTCACCCAAAACATCTTGCGGAAACTTGTGGACATCCTGAGCAAGAAACAAAAAGACGGAGAGAAGGAAAGCAGAGACCTTTGTGGTGATGTGTGGTGATGTGTTGTGATGTGGGGTGATGTGAGGTGATCTGTGGTGATGTGTGGTGATGTGGGGTGATGTGAGGTGATCTGTGGTGATGTGTGGTGATCTGTGGTGATGTGTGGTGATGTGTGATGTGTGGTGATGGTTTGCATACGTGGTGATGTGGGGTGATGGAGGTGATCTTTGGTGATGTGCGGTGATCTGCGGTGATGTGGGGTGATGTTTGGTGATGTGGTGATGTGTGATGTGAGGTGATCTGTGGTGATGTGTGGTGATCTGTGGTGATGTGTGGTGATGTTTGGGTGACGTGTGGTGATCTGTGGTGATGTGTGGCGATGTGGGTGATGTGAGGTGATGTGGGGTGATGTGTGGTGACCGTGTGATGTGTGGTGATGTTTGGTGATGTGTGGTGATCTGTGGTGATGTGTGTGGTGATCTGTGGTGATGTGTGGTGATCTGTGGTGATGTGTGGTGATCTGTGGTGATGTGTGGTGATCTGTGGTGATGTGTGGTGATGTGGGGTGATGTGAGGTGATCTTTGGTGATGTGCGGTGATGTGTGGTGATCTGTGGTGATGTGTGGTGATGTTTGGTGATGTGTGGTGATGTGCGGTGATGTGTGGTGATGTGTGGTAATGGTGATGGTGAAGTGATGGGAATTTCATGAGTGTAGTAGGTGATGGTGAGTTTGCTGGGTGCTTAATAATGAGGAAGACATACTGAAGAAGTGATGGTGAAGAAGTGATGGTGAGGGAGGAAAGAGTGATGGTGAGGGAGGATGGTGAAGAAGTGATGGTGAGGGAGGAAAGAGTGATGGTGAGGGAGGAATGAGTGATGGACAGGCATGGTGGAGGAAGAGGAGGATGGCAGAGGAATGAGAGGTGGGGGAGGAATGAGGATGGTGAGGAAGAGGAGGATGGTGAGGAGGGAAGAGGAGAGGGAGAGGAGGATGGTGAGGGAGAGGAGGATGGTGGAGGGAGGAATGAGTGATGGTGAAGGAAGAGGAGTGATGGTGAGGGAAGAGGAGTGATGGTGAGGGAGGAATGAGTGATGGTGAAGGAAGAGGAGTGATGGTGATGGAAGAGGAGTGATGGTGAGAGGATGGGTCACCACGGCAACAAGGTGAGTGACAGGTCTCTTCATTATGGTCGTGCTAATTAATCTCAGGTAAAGTAAGAATGAGGTGGCAGGTGTTGGTGGAGATTGATGGCGGTAGGTAGTGGTGGAGATTGATAGCGGTAGGTGGTGGTGGAGATTGATGGTGGTAGGTGGTGGTGGAGATTGATGGTGGTAGGTGGTGGTGGAGATTGATGGCGGTTTGTGGTGGTGGAGATTGATAGCGGTAGGTGGTGGTGGAGATTGGTAGGTGGTGGTGATGGTGATAGGTGGTGGTGGAGGAGATTGATTGGTGGTAGGTGGTGGTGGAGATTGATAGCGGTAGGTGGTGGTGGAGATTGATGGTGGTAGGTGGTGGTGGAGACTGATGGTGATAGGTGGTGGTAGCTAACTGTAATTAATTATTATTAATCTTGAAAAGAGGGAAAAAAGGTGCAGGAGAAAAATATTACATACTTTCGTAACCAAACAAACTGGGGTAAAATGTCATACAATAATTTCAAACCGTACTTAGGTCAAAGACTTCAGTACTGTACCGTAATTTCATACCGTAACATATCCTACTGCTACCGTATAACCAATATAAAATAGTATAGCTCCCCATTCAGAGAGAGAAGCCAGATATATTGAGTATATTCCGAATAAAGTGATATATACCTGTCGACCATCATGGTAACAGTAGGAACAGCGGTATACTGGGATGTATACCGTACCCTTGTAATACCCGGAGAGCCTCACACACTGGCCATGCTTCATCACTCACCCACCACCACAACACCACACATTCTAGTCACACAGAATTTATTAATTTTACCAGCGCCGCCACCATTGTCTCTCTCGCTTCCTGTTTGACTCACACCATCTGTCATCCATAGTGTGTGTATTGGGTGGTGGGGCGGTGTGTGTATTGTTGGTTGGGGGGGGGGGGGATATTCTGTTTTTATTATTACTAGGGGAAGCCTGGACAAAAATATTTCAATTTAACCTTACCTAAAAACGACCATAGATAGATAGATAGAGTCATCACCAACACCATCTGAGAGGGGTGAGAGGGTAGGGGGTACACGTGCCAGTGGGAAGCTGTTGTTTATAGGTAGGCATTAAGTTGGCTCAGGTCATTACCCTCTGTGTGTGCCACGATAACCCTGGCTAATACCCTCATTCCGCCCGACTAACTAAATACATCATCAAATGGTGCGCAGAATTGGCCTAATTTGGGCGAACTCCGTAAAAAAAAAGAAAAAAAATCGAGATAAATAATTAAGTTAACGTGAGAATGAGATAATTGTGAGAACGATTTTCGCTCGTAAACCACCACCAAAAAAAGTAAACATTCACATGGTAATTTTTTAATATTCTGTGACATATTTACCGTATCTCTTCCTCTGTCTTACTGCTTCTGTCTATCTCCCTGACTCCTAGCTGACTGTCTACTAGAAAGATCTGTTAAGAAATCTTATTTTTTTTATATATTTGTTTATGCATATTATTAACCTTTTGAGCACGGTGGATTAACCCCTTGAGGACGGTAACCTATAGTACGCTACGTTATCCTCCTTGAAGAGTTAAAGCTTCAACACTCGTCCTCAAATGGTCGACCACTTCGTGTATTGGGGTTAAGAAAACTCAATTTAGTGCAGTTTATTATTTGATTTAATATTGAACATTTATATAAAAGTACCACCGTAGATTCCTTCACAGAGTCATCTACACACAGTGAGAGTTAGGATGGTTACGACACTCTTCCTCGGCAGTTCTGTCTTCGTGTTTTATTGTACAGAACTGAGTGACGGTCCCCGCTGGTGGCCGTCGTGTGCGTTGGGAAGTAACTCCAGGTCACTCACGGTCACGTTAAAGGTTCAAGACGCAGTTAGATCCGTCTTGACTCATTAAACAGTTAGATGTAACGTGACTATAATCTACTGTAACGCGTTCAGTAATGTAAAAGTTGTGAAAGCTTTCTTAATCCGACAGTTTCAGGTCAGCCATGTATATCTGCTGACAAGAATCACACAAGTTTATACATAAAACATCTACTGAGATACTGTAGTGTTGACGGTCTCCCTGTAACACCTCTGGCCGCCACACAATAGCTCGAGTTAATAACACTCAAACTGTTAAATTAAATATGAACACAGTAATTTGGAAGCTATTGTATAACAGCAGCTGCCTCCTGCTCGCTGTACGGCAGTGAGAAATGTTTGTATAATAATGAAAACAAGTTTTTATATAAATAAACAATAACTAAACTCACCCAACAGCTCGCCAGTGTGGACAAAATATATTGTTCTTCAGACAGTGAGTCACATTCTTACTCAGTGACAGTCACATACAGAGCTGCTGGCTCAACCAGAAATATGATGTCATTAACACAGAGCAGCAGGTGCGGTGATCCAGGGAGACAGAGACACAGTGGAAGAGGAACTACATCACCACAGGTTAGAGTCGGAGTTACGCCTTGAGGACCACCATCTGCACGGTGACGGGGAAGACACCTTTACTTCTCACACATCATGTCTAAATCTATACACCAGAAGATTGTACATGTTAGGAGGTTGACGATCATCATCGTGTGAACAATAACACTAATCTGTGAACATCTCAGACACTTTACAAGACGAGTGAGTCAGAGCCACGAGGGGTCTGCTGGACGGTGAGAACACTAGAGCGCGGGATTCTGATGCTTCAAGACACAGGTTCGACTCCCAACTGATGACTGCTACTACTATTACTGCGGCTTATTAGTGTCCTTAGAATCAAGTTACAGTGAGTTAGAATAACACTACATACAATACATAGTGGTGGATGGCACCAGTAGGGCGTGACACAGTGACCGTCCCTGGACTGTAATAGCCTGGCACTGCCACCTGTCCTTGGTCGCGGGCAGGTCACTTTATAATTTAGGTAACTAACAATACAGTGACAAATTTTAATAACAATCGTTGAAAAGGTTAACTGCTTAATGACTATGATTACCCGAAGGTCACATTAAGTACACCCAGAGAGAAGTGTATCTTTATGTAAATTACTAAGTGATGACTACAGCATTGTGTGAACTAATATGATCACCGCAGTTTTTAAAGAGCATTAACACAAAGTACACCTTGTGCATACTGTATACAAGAAGTCATCCCTCCCTCACATGTACCTAATATTCTACATATGCATCTAATTCATCCGAGTCCCACTTCCATATACCTTGAGCAGGACAGGTGTACACAGCCTCAGAGGTAATCGTCCCCTTATGTGGTCCAAGCACTTCAAACTCTGAGATGTGGCCCGGGGTCTGTTGGGGACAGACGACCCGGGGACTATGAACAGAATGACCCCGAGTACTATGGGGATATGGCTTGGGGCCTGCAGGAGATGCGGCCCGAGGACTGCAGGGGCTGTGGCCTGAAGACTGCAAGGGCTGTGGTCCAGGAATTTAGGGGGTGAGGTAGGCTACTTGTGAACGTGGGCGATCTTGAGCTGGTCTTGGAGGTCCCTCATGGCCCGGCACAACAACTCCTCCTGCCAGGGTAGAGCCACTACTTGCACGCCGATGGGCAGTCCCGTGGCGTCTCTGGTAGCCTGTGTTATGAGACAAGTTGAAATGTGTACCAGAGCGAGCATAAGAACATAAGAAAATAAGGAGTCTGCAATAGGCCGGTTGACCTGTGCATGGCAGCTCCTGTCGAGAGTTACTACCACTCTCTATCATCCATGAATCTATCTAGCCTCCTTTTAATAATTTCCAGCGTTCCAGCACTTACTACAAAGTTGCTAAGCTTGTTCCACTCGTCCACCACCCTATTTGTGAACCAGTTCCTTCCTATCTCCCTCCTAAACCTCTAACTTATCCAACTTAAATCCGTTGCTACGAGTCCTATCCTGCTCGGATATTATAAGAACTTTATCTATATCCCCTTTATTGATTCCTTTCACCCACTTAGATACTTCTATCATATCTCCCCGCACTCTTCGTCTTTCTAGGGAATGCAAGTTTAGTTTCTTTAATCTATCTTGATATGGAAGGTTTCTAAGTCCCGGAATCATTTTCGTCATTCCTTGCTACACCGACTCTAGTGAATTGATATCCATTCTATAATAGGGGCGCCAGAACTGAACCGCATACTCGAGGTGCGGCCTGACTAGCGCAAGATATAGTTGCAATAAGACCTCTGCACTCTTATTACTTACACGTCTAGATATAAAACCTAATACTCTGTTTGCTTTATTTCGAACATTAACGCACTGTTTTCTAGGCCGTAGGTCCGGGCTTACAAGTACCCCTAAGTCTCTTTCAAAAGTCGAGTCTCTAAGTTGATGTTGTTAAGGCTGTATACATTGACAGTATTTGTTCTTCCAATATTAAGTACGCTGCACTTGCTGGTGTTGAGTTTCATTTGCCATTTTCTGACCACTTCTGCAGTTTATTTAATTGCTCCTGTAGTGCATTTGCACCCTGTCCTGAATTAATCTGCCTCCCTATTTTGGTGTCATCCGAAAACTTGCTTATGTCACTGCTGATCCCAGTATCTAGATCGTTATGTAGCTTATGAACAAGAGTGGGCCTAGTACTGACCCCTGGGGAACACCACTTGTTACACGGCCCCACTCAGATTTAACACCATCTACGCTGACCCTCTGTGCTCTATCTGTGAGCCATGATTTTATCCAATTTAAAACTTTCCCCTTGATACCATGAGCCTTAACTTTTCTCAGAAGCCTCTGATGTGGTACTCTTTCAAACACTTTGCAAAAGTCCAGGTAAATAACATCGTAATTATCGTCATTATCTACTACCTCGAAGATTTTCCTGAAAAACGTCTGCAGATTTGTTAGACAAGATTTTCCCTTTGTAAACCCATGTTGAGAGTCGTAGATTAATCGGACGGTAATTTGACGCTGATGCTCTGTCTCCCTTTTTGAATATGGGTACTACATTTGCCTGTTTCCACAAGTCTGGTACAACTCCCGTGTCAAATGATTTTGTAATTAATTTTACGAGGGGTCCGCTAATCTGTTCCTTACACTCTTTCAAAACTCGAGGGAAAATTTCATCTGGCCCTGGGGATTTTGTCTTCTTTAATTTATTTATCTTCTTAAGAACATCCTCTTTTCTGATAGTGATATTCTTTAATTTCTCTTCTTCATTTTCCCTAAATATCAGTTCCACCTCTGGCATTTCCTCGTGAATTTCTTCTGTGAAAACTGATAAGAAGTATCTGTTTATTGCTTGGTTTATTTCCTCACTATCATCGATCACTTCCCCTCTCTCTGACTTTAAAGGCCCCACTTTGTCCTTGACCTTTGTCCTATATACCTGGAAAATCCCTTGGGATTCGCCTTGGATTCTCTTGCTATCCTAATTTCGTAGTCCCTCTTTGCCTTCCTTACATTTTCTTAACATTCCTAGATAATTCATTATACCTATCTGAGATGCTCCTCCCCTCCCTTTAATTTCTTATAAATTCCTTTCTTTATTCCTATGTCACATTTAAATTTTTTGGTCATCCACCTTGGCTCATTCTTATTTGACCTAATTTTTCTGTATGGTATATTTTGTTCTTGTGCTTTACGTAGTATATGAGTGAATATATTATAGTTATGATCAATTGTTGTGTCGCCGGTGACCTCACCAGTTCCTACTGGGGACTGACCTGACTGTTCCCAGGTGACCTCACCTAGGTACCTTCTTTACCCCTGATAATCCGCTGATCGAAAGTTTGGGACTCTGACCATATTGTCATTGTTTTTCGTTTCCCAATTTAGGGTGAACCTGATTTCTCTGTGATCACTGTTACCTAGTTCTTCCCCTATTGTGATATCTCTGATAATATTTTCTTTATTTGTTAATACTAGGTCTAATATATTGTCACCTCTAGTAGGTTCTGTAATTAGTTGTTTCAAAAAATTGTCCTGTACTGCGTCTAGGAAGTCTTCAGATTCATAGTCACCTACAATGTTGTTCCAGTCAATAGTTCTGAAGTTGAAATCCCCCATAATTAGGTTTTGTATTTTGCTGCCCTACTCATTTTCTGCCATATGGGAGTGATTTACAGGCCCCCAAGACTTGGGGGCCTGCAAATCACTCCCATAATTAGTTTTTCTCTTCCTTCCGCAATTTCTACCCATACAGATTCGGTTCCTATTTCACCCTTTATTGAATTATTATTACAACATTTTAATGTATCCTTGACGAAGAGTGCGACCCGTCCCCCCCTTCCTACCTTCCCTGTCCCTGTGAAAAAGGTTGTACCCTTCTATGTGGTACTCTGATAAAAAGTTCTTGCCGGCCAGATTCATCCAAGTTTCAGTGGTAGCTATGACGTCAACATTCTCGGTATAAACAACGACTCTCAGCAAGTCTATCTTATTTCTAACGCTCCTACTGTTTGTATAGTATATATTTAAACCTATCCTTCCCTGGTCCTGTTTTACCCCTTGTCCTGATTAACCAATTTTACTCCTGCTTGTTTTTTGACTCCCACTTACCTCGAGCTCTCTACTGGCGACCCCCCTTTGGAGTGACAAATTCACGCTCCAGGGAAGTAGACAACGTCTTTACCCTCGCGCGAGACAAGTGTACTCCGTCACGACTGTACAGGTAGTCGTTGCCAAAAAATACAGTATCTATCCATCTTTTTATCAAACTCTGAATACAATATGTGTGTGTCCTCATTATTTTAACAAAATTAGGATACAATAATGTATGCCCAACCAGACCCAAAGGTAGCGTTACCGAGTTTAATCATCGGGTGAAATAAACTGACGTATCTCATCTGGAGGTGACCCGCTTTGACCTAACTAAGTACATATTTTTCCTTCTTAACAGCGACCCCGTGACCTGACTGTGTCCTGGCTGAACTTATTATGACTAATATGACTATCATTACCTGACTGAACTGATTATGACAAATATGACCTATCATTACCTGATTGAACTGACTGTGACATTAATGTGACCTAATCATCACTTGACTGTGACCTGAAAATGACCTGACTGCACTGACCTCCTTAACCAGTTGGAACATTAAGTCAGTGGTCGGGTAGTCTTCGAGCTTCTCTTGATCCTCTTCCGTCTCGTGGGTGACGGGAACAACACCAGCCGGGAAGTTACACAGGTTGTAGAGGCAGGTAGTTAACAGGGCAGCTGTGGGCACGAAACCTGGAGGTCATTACGTACTAGAGGTATTAAGAGGTCACTATTTACTAGAGGTATTAAGAGGTGGTTTACTAGAGGTATTAAGAGGTCATTATTTACTAGAGGCAGGGAGAGACAGGCAGACAGACATACAGAGAGACAAGCAGACAGAGAGAGACAGGCAGACAGACATAGAGAGAGACAGGCAGACAGAGAGAGAGACAGGCAAACAGAGAGAGAGAGAGAGACAGACAGACAGACAGAGAGAGACAGGCAGACAGAAATAGAGAGAGACAGGCAGACAGAGAGAGAGAGAGAGACAGACAGACAGACAGAGAGAGACAGGCAGACATAGAGAGAAAGACAGGCAGACAGAGAGAGACAGACATAGAGAGTGTAACCTCAGAGACTCGTAGCTGGGATGGGTCGTGACACAGCATACCTCTGGCAGGGGAAGGGTCGTGATAGCGTGGCAGGGGAAGGGTCGTGACATGGTGGCAGGGAATGGGTCGTGACATGATGGCAGGGAAAGGGTCGTGATAGGGTGGCTGGGGAAGGGTGACAGGGTGGCAGAGGAAGGGTCGTGACAGGGTGCAGAGGAAGGGTCGTGATAGGGTGGCAGGAAGGGTCGTGATATAGGGGTGGCAGGGAAGGGTCGTGATAGGGTAGGGTCGGGGAAGGGTCGTGGTAGCGTGGCAGGGGAAGGGCGTGATTGGGTGGCAGGGGAAGGGTCGTGATAGCGTGGCAGGGGAAGGGTCGTGATTGGGTGGCAGGGGAAGGGTCGTGGCAGGGCAGGTGTCGTGTGTGACGTGAATGGTTAATATACACCAATGAAAGATTTATTTTGGGTCGAGGAAGTTCATTTAGGTTGAGTTGAATGTTTCATTGTTTCTCTGAGGCTAACAAGGTTTATCCTACGTCACTCAACACTAATTGTGGCAAGTTAATGACCAAGCCAAAAACAGTAAAAGTTCACGATTATTACCTAGTTTAATGAGGTATTAAGGATGGTAATTACAGCGTATCTCTCACTGCAACAAATCATAAACGACACAGCTTAGTTCTGAATATGTACCCAGTAAAAGATTTTTTTTAAACAACTGGAGAAAGAGATTTTGTGAATTCCATTATACGGCCACTCACTCACTCCACTTCTCTCTACTATGGTTGGTAAGGAAAAACGCTAATGCGTCTATCGTGCGTTTTGAAAACCCGAGTCGGTGATGAAGGTCCCGAGGGCCAGCGGAGAGGTCCCCACCATTAACACAGTCCTCAGTTGTTTTTGTTGCAGCGGAGTGAAGGAGGGGAGGAGGAGCCGTGGCTGTTGGGTCCGAGAGAAGCAAAGTTGTGTCGTGTCACTTAGTGGACCGGGTGTCTCGGGGCTCCACACTTTAGGGTTGGGGGGGTGACGGTATACACTGACACTCACCACCGCTGGCAACATGCTGAGGCTTACCAAGAAAACACACGGCATGTTGTTTTCCCGCCCCTAAATTATCGAGTCGAATATTTTTTTTTTGTGGTTTATATATAATAACTTAATGTTTATCTCTTCCTTAAGCTTAATCGCTAGCCAGGAGCAGCCTTCCTGGTGGACCCCGGGAAGGAGGTGGAACAACACATCACCAGGGACCCAGAGAACACTAATACTAACCCATGGTCCTCTTATGTTACTCCCTTACCCATGGTTTTGGTGGGGGCCACTAGCACTCACCCATGGTCTTGGTGGGGGCCACTAACACTCACCCATGGTCTTGGTGGGGGCCACTAACACTCACCCATGGTCTTGGTGGGGTAGGATGGGGGAGGGGCAGGCATAGGGAAGGCTGGACACAGAAGCACGTCTAGGTGGCAGCTGGTCCAGGCGTCAACAAACTCTTCCACGTACTCTGCCTGTGACCCCAACACCCGTAACAGCTGGTGTGATGATGAGGCCTCACCTGTGGGAATGTTACCGTGTTATGTTACTAGTATCCTTTATGGCCTTACATTTGTTGTTGTGTTACCTGTGTTGTGGTGTTACCTGTGTTATGGTGTTGCCTGGCGTTACTCTCACCTGAAGACGGACTACATCAACATGACTCTACCTAATATCCCGTGCTCCAACTGTGATCAAATTAGTTTATATTTTTCACTTGATGTTTTCATGTAAAGTCACTAACATACCTGTACAGTTCATTACATAATTAATAAGACAATAACCCCAAAGTTGTGTCTATAGGTCACTCGAAATGTACAAGTATGTCTCAAGGAAAGTATTTATGACCATCTCTTCATAAAGTCATCAATGTGTAGCCCATCCACTACCTACTTTAGTTGTATTGTCTTGCTAGTGTTTGAAAAAGTTTGCAGGTTGTAGTTGGGTGGATCTTCATCACAGTTACTGTACCATTTTAAGTTAGTCTAATTTTCCGGACAATGAAATCAGAAGTATATGTGCAAGTAAATTGATGGTTGTTAACCCTCTCCGCCTTTTAATGCAAATTAGAGAGTCGGCCCTTCATCTATCAGCGAGTCACCGTTTTCTCCATCGTCACCCTTCGTGAGGTTAGTTACACACACACACACACACACACACGTGTAAGTATTTCATGAGACGAGACAACTTACTTGTAAAAAGATCAGCCATAAGTGGCGACTTTCTGTGAACAATTTGTTTCCTGATGGCCTTGATGAACTTGGGCGCTGCCAATTTCTTGTTGGTAGAGATGGAGTGGTCGACAACCTCACCGTCCAGGAGGTGCTGCACAGTGCGTCCCTGGTCGGCCGTATAGATTGCGGTGATCAGGTTCCAGGCATGTCGCACGTCTGGAGGAGAGAAGGCCACGATATGGTGTCCAGCGGCGTGAAATGCGTCGCGAGCTTCGGCCACGGCTCTCCGACAGCCGGGGGTAATAGGGAACACGTTATCATCGTCATACCAGCCTACACGGAGCGGGCGGTCGTCGGTGTAGAGGTGGTGTCGCCAGGAGATTGGCGGCAACTGAGGGTCCAATTCGAACATGCAGCCGCCCTCCAGCAACGCCCTCAGGCCAGCCACCACGATCTCCACGTCACGACCCAACAGTCCCGGCGACCCACGAACTGAAGCACAGAAATAAACAAACATTTTATCAATCTGTTGTTGTCATAAACTGTCTGGGAGGGAATATATTGTGCTGTCCATAATATCTACGTGTACTACAGTCCCAGCGTCCATTACTCGACACATCACTCCCACTTAGCTACCAGCAACCTACCGCAGACGCCATTTTCATTGTTTACATGGCGTGACGACCGCTTTATACACACAAACACTTCTCACCGACTGTTCCATACACACTAAAACTTGCAACAACAATATTTAACGGATATAAGATAAACCGACCTACAGTAAGCCACTTAACCGAGGATGAAGGTACAACATAAATAGAAAATTACAAATCCTCGTTACTTTTGCAGATATTTTTGAGGTAAGGAGAAAAATATAATGAAGTTGGTAGTTTTCCTGCGTAGGCACTCCGAAGTTATTGCCTCAGCTTTCACAGTTTAATTTCATTGACCAGATAGACTGTTGTTGATGTACTTAGTTTCTTCACCTCTCCCTTATGGCTGGTGGACCTCAGTCAACACCACCAACCTTGTAATGCCTTTCTTGAGCTCTCCTCCCTGTATATCTGTCCTACTCACGCACTGAGCCTCCATGAACGTGTATGACGATCTTACTGAATATCTATCTGTCTGTCTGTCTCTCTGTCTGAAGTTAGCGTGGAAGATAAGCCAGCAGCTAACAAAGCGAGACTTAAATACTTACTGCCGACGTCACCGTTCATGACGCTGAGGACGCCCTGTGTGCTCAGTCTTCCTCTAGTGGTCTTGAGGCCCACCACGCCGCAGAAGTGGGCTGGGATCCTCACGCTGCCCCCGAGGTCCGAGCCCACCCCAAGAACAGACCCACCCGCGCCTACCAGTGCTCCCTCGCCTCCTACAGTGGTACACGAGGGAAGGTTAAGTTAGTGGTACAGTGGTACACGAGGGAAGGTTAAGTTAGTGGTACAGTGGTACACGAGGGAAGGTTAAGTTAGTGGTACAGTGGTACACGAGGGAAGGTTAAGTTAGTGGTACAGTGGTACACGAGGGAAGGTTAAGGTTAAGTTAGCGGTACAGTGGTACACGAGGGAAGGTTAAGTTAGTGGTACAGTGGTACACGAGGGAAGGTTAAGTTAGTGGTGCAGTGGTACACGAGGGAAGGTTAAGTTAGTGGTACAGTGGTACACGAGGGAAGGTTAAGTTAGTGGTGCAGTGGTACACGAGGGAAGGTTAAGTTAGTGGTACAATGGTACACGAGGGAAGGTTAAGTTAGTGGTACAGTGGTACACGAGGGAAGTGTTAAGTAGCGGTACAGTGGCACACGACGGAAGGTTGTTAGTGGTACAGGCACACGAGGGAAGGTTAAGTAGTGTACAGTGGTACACGAGGAAGGTTAAGTTAGCGGTACAGGGTACACGAGGGAAGGTTAGTTAGTGGTACAATGGTACACGAGGAAGGTTAAGTTAGTGGTACAGTGGTACACGAGGGAAGGTTAAGTAGGGTACAGTGGCACACGACGGAAGGTTAAGTTAGTGGTACAGTGGCACACGAGGGAAGGTTAAGTTAGTGGTACAGTGGTACACGAGGAAGGTTAAGTTAGGGTACAGTGGTACACGAGGGAAGGTTAAAAGGATACAGTGGTACACGAGGGAAGGTTAAGTTAGTGGTACACGAGGAAGGTTATTAGTGGTACAGTGGCACACGAGGGAAGGTTGTAAGAGGGTACAGTGGTACACGAGGGAAGGTTGTGTTAGTGGTACAGTGGTACACGAGGGAAGGTAAGTTTGTACAGTGGTACACGAGGGATGGTTAAGTTAGTGCAGTGGTACACGAGGGAAGGTTGTGTTAGTGGTACAGTGGTACACGAGGGAAGTGTGTTAGTGGTACAGTGGTACACGAGGGAAGGTTAAGTTTGTGGCAGTGGTACACGAGGAAGGTTAAGTTAGTGGTACAGTGGTACACGAGGGATGGTTAAGCAGGTGCAGTGGTACACGAGGGAAGGTTGTGTTAGTGGTACAGTGGTAAACGAGGGAAGGTTGTGTTAGTGGTACAGTGGTACACGAGGGAAGGTTGTGTTAGTGGTACAGTGGTACACGAGGGAAGGTTGTGTTAGGGTACAGTGGTACACGAGGGAAGGTTGTGAGAATGGTACAGTGGTACACGAGGGAAGGTTAAGTTTGTGGTACAGTGGTACACGAGGATGGTTAGTTAGTGGTGCAGTGGTACACGAGGGAAGGTTAAGTTAGTGGTACAGTGGTACACGAGGATGGAAGGTTAGTGGTGCAGTGGTACACGAGGGAAGTTGTGTTAGTGGTACAGTGGTGCACGAGGGAAGGTTGTTAGTGGTACAGTGGTACACGAGGGAAGGTTGTGTTAGTGGTACAGTGGTACACGAGGGAAGGTTGTGTTAGTGGTACAGTGGTACACGAGGGAAGGTTGTGTTAGTGGTACAGTGGTACATATTGTCTATGGTACAGTGGCACGAGGGAAGGTTGTGTTAGGTACAGTGGTACACGAGGGAGGTTGTTAGTGGTACAGTGGTATATATTGTCTATGGTACAGTGGTACACGAGGAAGGTTGTGTTAGTGGTACAGTGGTACATATCAAACATTCTGTTTAATGTTCGGGAAATTACACCCAGATTTTGAGCGTTTCCGCGTAACTGAGGAAAAGTGACACCTTACCAATGAGTTCTGTGTTTATCTCAAGACAGGGGAGAGCTAAATGACGAAGGAGGAACCCAATTATGGGTTAAGCTTACCTGAGGAACCGCCAGAGGTACGCTGTGTGTTGGCTGGGTTGACAGTCTCGCCCCACACGGGATTGCTGCAGCCGTATGAATATATTAAATTTTTCAGGTGAGTCATCTACACCTACTGCCCACGTCAGTGGTCCCCAACCTTTCGGAGGCTCTAGTCCACATTTATTAATGTAAATATAGTGAAGGGCGTCAAAACTTTAGATCTACATTCAAGAAAAAAATCTCATATAAACTGTGCAGTTATTTACAGTTTTACACGTCTAACTGCTCCAAGTTACATACTTTTTACATTTACTCTTGGACAGAACGAGTGTATTTGCCCAGTGACAAGGCTGGCCTTCTCTGGGCCCTGTCTGTGGTAAGTACACCCGTCCTGTACACGACAGTTGTATCAAGTTATTACATATTTTCATTATTTCACTTATAAAGAATCCCAAATAAGTCATTTTTTTTAATAAACCCTCGTGGGTTCCATAATATGTTAGGGACCACTGGTCTACACCTACTGTCTACACCTACTGCCTCACATACTGTCTACACCTACTGTCTACACCTACTGCCTCACATACTGTCTACACCTACTGTCTCTACACCTACTGCCCTCACATACTGTCTACACCTACTGTCTACACCTACTGCCTCACATACTGTCTACAATCACTGTCTACACCTACTGCCTCACATACTGTCTACACCACTGTCTACACCTACTGCCCTCACATACTGTCTACACCTACTGTCTACACCTACTGCCTCACATACTGTCTACACCTACTATCTACACGTACTGCCTCACATACTGTCTACACCTACTGTCTACACCTACTGCCCCACATACTGTCTACACCTACTGTCTACACCTACTGTCTACACCTACTGCCCCACATACTGTCTACACCTACTGTCTACACCTACTGTCTACACTACTGCCCCACATACTGTCTACACCTACTGTCTACACCTATGGGTATGCGGGGGTATGGAGGGCGGGGTTTGGGTGTGTCACCTGGCAGGAGGACTCACCTGATGCAAGTCTGGGGGACGTTGGTCTTGCAGAAGGGGACGGCACCCTGAGCCTTCAGGGCTTGGACGAGGGCGGCGTGGCGGAAGGCGGGGCGGTAGAGGTTCTTGGCCAGACCCAGGGTGGTGTCACGCCCCTCCACATCAATGTTCTCCTTCACGCTCACCGGCAGCCCGTACAGCGGCAGGTTCCTAGTCTCTAGCGGCGCTTCCTCCAGCGACGCTGCCCACTCCTGCCGGAACGACGCTTACGCTCTTGTTACACCCAGCTGGCACACTCCTCCCAGCTGACACACTCCTCCCAGCTGGTACACTCCCCAGCTGACACACTCCCAGCTGACCTCCCAGCTGGTACACCCCCAGCTGACACACCTCCCAGCTGACACACTCCCCAGCTGACACACCTCCCAGCTGGCACACTCCCCCAGCTGACACACCTCCCAGCGGCACACACCTCCCAGCTGACACACCTCCCAGCTGACACACTTCTGAAGGACACTCCTCCCAGCTGGCACACTCCTCCCAGCTGACACACCTCCCAGCTGGTACACTCCAGCTGACACACTCCTCCCAGCTGACACACTCCTCCCAGCTGACACACTCCCAGCTGACACACTCTCCCAGGACACACTCTCCTCCAGGACACACTCCCCAGCTGACACACTCCTTCCAACTGACACACCTCCCAGCTGACACACCTCCCAGCTGACACACTCCTCCCAGCTGACACACTCCCCCAGCTGACACAATCCTCCCCAGCTGCACACTCCAGCTGACACACCTCCCAGCGACACACCTCCCAGCTGACACACTCCACCCAGCTGACACACTCCACCCAGCTGACACACTCCACCCAGCTGACACACTCCACCCAGCTGACTCCACCCAACTGGACCAATGAGAGAGCTCCATTCCTCGGACCAATGAGAGCTCTATTCCTTTGACCAATAAGAGAGTACCATTCCCTTAGCATGGTGTGGGTAACTAATTGTAATATTGTATTTTCTTTCTGTTTCTGAATCCTATCCACTGATTAATTGTCTGGTTTGTATGTTTTGGGAGGTGGGGAGGGATGGTCCTTTGGGAGGTGGGGGAGGGATGGTCCTTTGGGAGGTGGGGGGGAGGGATGGTCCTTTGGGAGGTGGGGAGGTTTGGTCCAAGAGAAGTTGCTTGATAGGAATTTTGAGGCCGATAGAATTTGTGTTTATTTTGAAATCCATCGGACACCTTCCCCAAAGATAATTTCTGCATGAACTTACCTCAGCTAGGGGATAAATTCTGTGATGCAGTTGACTCGGTACGTCACAACGATAGCCTGTCATGGAGAGAATGTTACATTTGTTAGCGTGACGGAGAGAATGTAATGGTTGTTAGTGTGGTAGAGAGAAGGATATGTGTTGGTTGTTACGATGTGGCGTGACATAGTAATTATCTGTTACGGTGTGAAGGGAAAAAAGACAGATGAAATAAGAGTTAGTGTCACATTAAACTTTAGTAACATCTACGGTGCTGTTTATGGTCAGTTACAATTTGTTGTCATACTTTTAAAAATGTTAATGGAGAAAATTAATCGAAAGTTTTATCATCACCTTCACCTTATCATCACCTTCACCTTATCATCACCTTCACCTTATCATCAATAAAAAAATACCTGTAAGGTAATAAACAGACTTTAAAATTTGATGAGTTTTAATATACGATTTCCATCTGAATTTCCACGTCGGAACCTTTTAACGCACTAATTAATGATTCAACTTAATAAAGACAAATTTAATTAATTTAAATCTTCTAACGACACAAATGTTATTTTACCTCTTAATTGAAGGTTCAGTAATGTCTATAATTATCCCAGATTTAACATTCGACGCCGATCTTTTAATTATCATTTTAAAAAGTAGTAGTTTGGAAACTTCAAAGGAAATCCACTTTTCAACGCGCTAGTTGAGGACCGGCTTAAAAATATTGAATTTCAGGTAATTAGACCCACTTGAACCCCGAACTTTCTGTAAGACATAATCTGACCACTTGGGATAAAAAAGGTTTGAATAAACAAACTGTACACAAAGCTTTCGATACTGAAGGAGGCAGCGTGACCGGCACTGTACTTAACTGCCTTCACTCCCCAATAGTAAAGTTAAGTCCCCTTTCACAGATGGGTGAAATGGAGGTGCTCCGGATGCGAACCAGCGACCCATTCGACAGGAGACAATCGATGTATCCGCTGAGCCACTGCGTCCTCACTCTGATCTAAACACTACACAAACAAGGTTCAGACTAAACACTGACCTTGGCCTGAAACGCCTGGAGGACGTGTGTTGGGGCGAGGTGGCCGTCCCTGAGTCTGTGGAGGAGGGTGGTGGGGGGCAGGGCCAGGATGGCGAGCCGCTCCTCCGTCAGCAGCTCCCCGCCTTCACTCAGCGCAGCCTCCAGGCGGTCCAGAGCAGCCCGCACCTCTTTCTGACGCTGTTCCATCGACTCCTGAAGCTTCTCCTGTAGGTTAAGTGGTATCACTGAAGGTAGGAAGGTGTTGCTGATGTGAGGCAGAATATTTTGACATTCGGTAAGCACAGAGAAAATAGAGTTCGTTACAAACACAATCATAAAAAACCAGAGGTTGTTGAAAGTATGACCATAGAAAACCAGAGCTTGATGAAAGTATGACCATAAAAAACCAGAGCTTGTTGAAAGTATGACCATAGAAAACTAGAGCTTGTTGAAAGCATGACCATAGAAAACTAGGCATTTGACAAGGAAATTAACAAAAAACACATTACTCAAAACGGAAGACAATTACTGTACATGAGACAGAGAGAAGCCAAAAAGTTCTCGAAATACAAGCACTCACTTTTGAGGTAACTCACTACTCAGGTAACTCACTGTTGTTGTGACTCACTACTTAGGTAACTCACTCTTCAGGTAACTCACCACTCGGGTAACTCAATACTCCGGTAGCTCACTACTCAGGTTACTCACAAATTGTAAAAAGTAAAAGATTCGTGGCTCTTATGTACGGTAAGTTCAAAAACTAGCGTGAGACTTTGTTCTGGCAACTTATGATTTGTCTCTAGTGTTAATATTGAACTCGACTCATAAATCTGGCAACTCTCAGAAATGCTCATAACTGAGAATAATTAAAAAAAATCCGATTGTAAGTTGTGAGTGAATTATCTAACTCAGTTCGTGATATTTACTCTTAAGAAATAAACAAATATTCATAAAAATAATTAAATGTGCTTATATTTGTTTATGTGTGTAATATTTATACAAAAAATAAAATTTAGAAGAAAAAAATTACATGCTATTATACCTCTGAGTTGGAACAGGAGGACATTGATGTCATGGTGGAAGCTGAAGACACGTTACGCAGGTCCTAAAAGTTGTTTTTCTCCCTACAAATACAAGAAGCAAGTTCAGTACATCACCTTAATAAGCCTTAAACATCACCTCAACACACAGATACTGAGATGATATTTTTTTTGGTAAGTGTAATGCAAGGATCAACGTAATATGTTACCTCTGACGAACCACCGCACAGTAGCCTCGCCTCCTATAGTCAACCCCTCATGGAAAGTTTCCTCAACTTAATTGTTTACCGGAAGTGATTCGTATCAAAAGACAGACAATAGAGAGTTGTCCGGAGCTCTACCGAATCGTGGCGAGTGGAGGGATAGAGCAGGAACGTGAGAGAGAGAGAGGATGGAAGGGGTCTGAGAACAGGGAAGTAGACAGGATGAAAGGGGCGTGAAAACAGGCAATTAGAGAAGAGAGATGAACAGAAAGGAAGGAATTTTAACGTTTGGTGGAAGGATAAATAGAATAGGGGAAGAGATAAGTAAAGGAGAAGAGAGAGAAAAAGATTGAATAGATTTTCTCGAGTAAAATCAAAGCGACGGACTGCTTACAGTTACCTAGGCAAATGATGTTATGGCCCGTGGTCACTAAGACGGGGCCTCTTCTCCCTCATCTTCTCCCTCACCCCTCCTCCTCCCTCATCATCTTCCCCCACATCTCCTCCTCCCTCATCATCTTCCCCCACATCTCCTCCTCCCTCCTCTCCTCCCCCACCTCTCCTCCTCCCTCATCACTCGGTCACCTTCAGCCACTCCCCCTCACCCCTCCCCCCCCTTACCAATATCAACCCTCTAACTCCCTCACCTGTGTACCCCCCCCAAGTACAACCCTTCTCCCTCTCTACAACTCTACAACACTCTACAACCCTTCCACTCTACAACCCTTCCACTCTACAACCCTTCCACTCTACAACCCTTCCACTCTACAACCCTTCCACTCTACAACCCCTCCACTCTACAACCCTTCCATCTACAACCCTTCCACTCTACAACCCTTCCACTCTACAACCCCTCCACTCTATAACCCTTCCATCTACAACCCTTCCACTCTACAACCCTTCCACTCTACAACCCCTCCAACTCCACAAACCTTCCATCTACAACCTCCCTCCTACAACCCTCCCATCTACAACACCTCAATACACATGTTCACAATACAGTAGTTAACAGTGTTGTCATCGACGCCTCATGACAGAATGTTAAGTTTAATCGATGCTCAGGAAAGAATCAATAGTTTGGGCAGCCACCTAACGTAGACGGACACTTAACCTCTGAGTTAAGTTAATTATTGTGTAGTTACTTGATCATTGACTCTTAATGGACATCTTACTTGATTTGTTGAGGTAAATCTTAATTAAATCGACTCTTATATACCTGGAATGTGTATGTGTAAAAGTTGAAGCAATGTGATGTATGATGATTTTACTGAATTTGTATACCTGTATGTCTTTATGTATATCTCTTTATCTATCTGTCAGCCTGTCTCTATGTCTGTCTTATCTACGTATCTATGTCCGTCTGTCTACACGCAAGAGGAGACTATTTGGTCATGCGCATTGAATCACAAGTTCGTGAAATATGATGCAAAATCAAAGGTGTCCCAGATTGATAATGGTTGGAGTGTGTTTTTATTATGCCTGGTTGTTCTGTACACAGGCCAGACGTGCCGGGCCATGGCCATAATAACTAGAGACGCCCTGGCCATGTAATATGACCTCTGCCACCAGGGTAAGATATTCTACAACACGTAATTTCGTAACACCTACACAATATATTTTTAAAGTTTTTGTTTGTTGTTATAGAACTTTGCAGGACGCTGTTTGGGTATAAGGGCATCTTTGCGGTGCGGTAGACATGGTCATATCTCAGTATGAATCATCTCTCTTCGGTATTTCTGAGCGCGCGTCAGGTCAGGGTAAGTATGCTTTGTTGACAGTACAACCATTACAGTTAACGTGATGATTGTGTACTGTGCATGTGCTTAGATTACTCTTTTAACTCGCCTGGTCACTGTCACCTGCTTTTAACATGACCAGAAACTGAACAGGACAGTTGAAAGGTGAAAAGGTTTATACATATCGGAACAGACCAAAGAGTAGACTAACGTGAAATACTTAAACGTAAAGTGTTCTCAGACGTGCAAGAGACGACTGATATACTCATGGTTTGGGAGTGTACAGTAAGTACTTGGTGCTGTTATATGAGCGGCTATGTCAATGTGAACAACATTCATCTAGAGGAGTAATCTACCTGTGTTGATGTTGAGGTGTCTACGCGAGATGTTGCCATAGCAACCTGTGAAATAATTTATTTCCACTTCCGTTTTCTCCAGAGTACAATTTATGTAAAGAAAACTGAATTCTCTTTTAGGGTAACTCGATAAATTTATTGCATGCTACACTTTTAATTTTTACTTTTATCTTCTTCGCCACTGATCGGCTTATTAGCCGCTTGGGCGATCGGTTGCGTCTCTGTTACGCACTTTTGGCAAGTACTGGGTATGCACCGGCTCCTGAATGTACCTGAACCTGCTCCAGTGTTGGTCAAGTCTGTTCTTGAAAGAGCTCACACTCGGTGCCTTCACAACACTTTCTGGCAGATTTTCCAAGAGTTTACAACTCTC